GTCGCTCGCCCTCGCGGACACACACGGCTAGCTTCAGCACTAGAGGGGCTGCATGTGAATCACCCCACTTCACAGACCACGCCCCCTAGTGACACGCAAACATTGTCCACGGACGCACAAACGCCAGCTACGCCACAACCACAGCTTCCACTGTCTCCTCTGTCTACAAGTCCTGACACAGGTGAAGCACCGCACCAACAAAAGATGACCGTGATCGACTCTCTCATCTGAACCATCTTTGTTCTCCCCCTTTAGGTCTCAGCTCCTCCAGCAGCATCCCCTCTCCCAGTGACCCCTCCTCTCCTTCACCCAGCTCTGCCTATTCCAGTGGGCCCACCCCCATGGATACCTCCCCTTCTTCCCCATCTTCTAATTCCTCACCCTCCTCGTCTCCACCCTCTGCCTCCTCATTTCCTTCAGTATCCATGTGGGGGGAGGAGCCTAACACCGGCTTCAGCTCAGGTAACAGGTGACGTCTTGGTTGTGCATTGATTGACAAATTGTTAATTTGTAGATTAAAATGATTTTGGTTACAGGTGTAAACGCTGGAAGTTCCAGAGAGTTTCCGTTGTACCTCATGGACTACGAGAGTGCCTCCCCCTGCCACGCACACATCTACACACACACAGCATCAACCAGTGGACGGCGGTTGCACACAACCAGCTCAACGGTGACACTGGAGGAGGAGCTGCTCAGCTACAGCGAGAACGCAGAGAACGAAGGCGAAGAGGAGGAGTATCTGGAAGAGGAGGTGTTACAGGTATGGAAACACTCACTGGTGTCACAACATTCATATCGAGGTGTAGCGCCACCTACTGGTTTTTGTTAACAGTGCTTATTCAGAGCTCTAAAGTCAGACTTCAGTTTGAGTTTAGGAGCAACCTTCTCTAAATCCAGCCTCATCCTAGATGTTTAATGTCAGAAGTTTGTCTAACTGTGATCAGTACTCTTGTTTTCAACAGACATGTCCATCAGCTGTGTTATAATGGTCATGTATTAAATGAACCTCAGGTCTCAGAGATCTCAGATTGGGCACCAGAACATATTTATCATGTGCTGTCCTGTCATTAACTTCCAGGTTATCTCACTGGTTTCCTTTCAAAGGTAAATTGTTTTGAAGGAACTTCTGGAACTAACAAAACACTAGGTCATAACACAAGGATAATGTTGAGAACAAACCTGTGGCTTCAATCCGGGGATAAAGACAAATACAAAAGATCTGAATCTTTTTGAATAAACATTAATGACAAAAAGGGAAGGAAACCAAAGAAAATAACTATCTTCTGAAAGTCAGCGCAGGTTTGAGGGGCTAAACCTGAGGACACTCACATGTCGACCTTTCCTGGTCTGCAGGTTGACATGGCGGTGCTCGCAGAGCAAATCATTGAGGCCACACCTGAGCGAATCAAGCAGGAGGACTTTCCCAGGGGGGCAGAGTCACCGCTCAGGGAGAGACGAGACAATCCCGCCATTCAAGACACCTGGCTGGCTACATACCTGGATACGGTGGACGTTCACACCCACTCCCCACCAAGGTGACCTCCGCCCTAAAGAACAGTGGACAGCCACACAGCTCACAGTAGAAAACCAGGAGTGTGCGTCCTGTCAGCTGTTTAAGTCACAGGTGTGTGTTTTTACTTGGCAGGCGGGTGTGCCCCCCCTCCCCTCTGAGTGCACTGGCCCTTCAGAGACTGCGCCCCCCCTCCTCTGCGGCGTGGGCAGAGTTCCTGAACGCCTCAGCTAATGGAAAGATGGAGAGAGACTTTGCCCTGCTGACACTGACAGACGGTGAACAGAGGGAGTTGTACGAAGCTGCCAGGGTCATCCAGAACGCCTTCAGGAGATACAAGGTCCAGAACCTAGTCAGGGATTATGATTTGGTCCGTAATCCAGACAAGTCAACAAGCCAGACTACTGACTGCCTGTTGACAAGTCAACAACCCAGGCTACTGACTGACTGTTGACAATTCAACAACCCAGACTACTGACTGTCTGTTGACAAGTCAACAAGTCAACAACCCAGACCACTGACTGACTATTGACAAGTCAACAACCTAGACTACTGACTGACTGTGGACAAGTCAACAACCCTGACTACTGACTGACTGTGGACAAGTCAACAAGCCAGACTACTGCCTGACTGTTGACAAGTCAGCAAGCCAGACCACTGACTGACTATTGACAAGTCAACAACCCAGGCTACTGACTGACTGTTGACAATTCAACAACTCCGACTACTGACTGACTGTGGACAAGTCAACAACTCCGACCGCTGACTGACTGTTGACTAGTCAACAACCCAGACTGCTGACTGACTGTTGACAAGGAAACAACTCCGACTACTGACTGTGGACAAGTCAACAAGCCAGACCACTGACTGACTATTGACAAGTCAACAACCTAGACTACTGACTGACTGTTGCCAAGTCACCAAGCCAGACTCCTGACTGACTGTTGACAATTCAACAACTCCGACTACTGACTGCCTGTTGACAAGTCAACAACCTAGACTACTGACTGACTGTGGACAAGTCAACAACCCTGACTACTGACTGACTGTGGACAAGTCAACAACTCCGACTACTGACTGACTGTTAACAAGTCAACAACCCCGACTACTGACTGACTGTGGACAAGTCAACAAGCCAGACTACTGACTGATTGTTGACAAGTCAACAACTCCGACTACTGACTGACTGTTAACAAGTCAACAACCCCGACTACTGACTGACTGTGGACAAGTCAACAACCCTGACTACTGACTGACTGTGGACAAGTCAACAACTCCGACCGCTGACTGACTGTGGACAAGTCAACAACTCCGACTACTGACTGTGGACAAGTCAACAACTCCGACTACTGACTGCCTGTTGACAAGTCAACAACCCCGACTACTGACTGACTGTTAACAAGTCAACAACCCCGACTACTGACTGACTGTTAACAAGTCAACAACCCCGACTACTGACTGACTGTTAACAAGTCAACAACCCCGACTACTGACTGACTGTGGACAAGTCAACAACTCCGACTACTGACTGCCTGTTGACAAGTCAACAAGTCAACAACCCAGACCGCTGACTGACTGTTGACAAGTCAAAAAGCCAGACTACTGACTGCCTGTTGACAAGTCAACAAGTCAACAACCCAGGCTACTGACTGACTGTTGACAATTCAACAACTCCGACTACTGACTGACTGTGGACAAGTCAACAACTCCGACTACTGACTGCCTGTTGACAAGTCAACAACTCCGACCGCTGACTGACTTTTGACAAGTCAACAACTCCGACTACTGACTGTGGACAAGTCAACAACCCAGACTGCTGACTGACTGTTGACAATTCAACAACCCAGACTACTGACTGTTGACAAGTAAAAAAGCCAGACTACTGACTGCCTGTTGACAAGTCAACAACTCCGACTACTGACTGCCTGTTGACAAGTCAACAACTCCGACTACTGACTGACTGTTGCCAAGGAAACAACTCCGACTACTGACTGACTGTTAACAAGTCAACAACCCCGACTACTGACTGACTGTGGACAAGTCAACAACTCCGACCGCTGACTGACTTTTGACAAGTCAACAAGCCAGACTACTGCCTGACTGTTGACAAGTCAGCAACCCAGACTACTGACTGACTGTTAACAAGTCAACAACCCCGACTACTGACTGACTGTGGACAAGTCAACAACCCTGACTACTGACTGACTGTGGACAAGTCAACAACCCAGACTACTGACTGACTGAATTTTCTCCTGACTGTAGTTCAGTTTAGGACAGTCTGATTTCTTTTCCTTGACCAAATCTCATTTTGTGTGTGATTGTGTAATGTGAGGAGACGAGCCCTCTGCAGGCTGAGGTTGGTAAACCGTCTAATGTTTCTTTAGGGCCGGAGGTTAAAGGAGCAGCAGGACATGGCAGCAGCTGTCATTCAGAGATGCTACAGGAAATACAAACAGGTTTGTGTTGATATGTGTTTGTGTGTTTTGTCTGGGCTTCACTAACACTGAACTAACCTGCTTTGTATCTTTACCACCTTTCTCTCTCCCTCTCCGGCTAGCTAACATGGATAGCTCTGAAGGTAAACTGGCTGATCAGTAGATGTAGTGACGTGTGTGTTTGTGAATCCTTCATTTTTGTGATCACACATATTTAAACAGATGAAACAATGACTGACAACTCAGAGCACACAACAGAAAGTAAAACAGGTGAAACACAGTTTAAAATGTAGCTTGTACAATGTTTTTTACCATTCAGTTTAGATGAAAACACCTAGTTTTCTAGTCTCGTTCACATAGGCAGCATAGCAAGGTTCAAAATATCTGGGCTCTCATCTGTGCAGATGTTGATTTCTGATCAATCAGATGTTAGAGCCTGGTGGAGTCTCTCTCACTCTCACTCTCTCTCTCTCTTTCTCTCCCTCTTTCTCTCTCGTCTCCTCCCTCACCTCCTTGTCCTCCTCCTCACCGTAGACACTCACCTTTGTATGTTTGTGTCCTCAGTATGCACTCTACAAGAAGATGACGCAGGCGGCCATCTTAATCCAATCCAAGTTCCGATCATACTATGAGCAGAAGCGGTTCCAGCAGAGTCGGCGGGCGGCGGTACTGATCCAGCAGTACTACCGCAGCTATAAGCAAGCACCACGTGGTGGCACCAGCCACAGCGCTAAGATGAAGTAAGCTGACACTAAGTGGACCTTCATCACATGACTCTTTCCACTCATGGCTGGTGAAACTGGAAGACTTAATACTGCAGAATAGCAAATATTTTAGGTCAGAGGTTTTGAACATGGGGTCTCTTGCACCTAGGGGTCTGTGCGGGTACTACAGAAGGGTCAGGCATTTTAGGTTTATTTATTGTGGGATTCAACAGCTAAATATACATTTGTAACCACAGTCTTAATTATAACTAGAAAAAGTGGAAGTAACATAAGGAAACCAGCTGCTATGTTACTAATTAGTTGTGAGTAACAGAATTTAGGGTTCCTAAAAACACGACAAGGGGAAGTAGAATCAAAGCTGTGACTTTCATCACATGATGCTTGTTAGCTTCTAGCTATTCAGCTCACTTCATAGGAAGCTGACACTGATCGTGTCTCAAACAGGGGCTCGTTTTTGACGAAGAAACAGGACCAGGCAGCGAGGAAGATCATGAGGTTTCTGAGACGCTGCAGACACAGGTAAGAGAAGCACACACACACACACACAGCAACACAGACACACAGCTGACTCTGGCCTCTCTTTTGTGTGTAGAATTAAAGAGCTGAAGCAGACAAGAGAGCTGGAGAGAAGAGGACTGACAACATTATGATGACATCATCAGGGATAGGAGAGCGTTGTCTTCACGTTATGTCATCACAGCCTGTGACGTCACACCTTTTGATGTCACATATGGTGATGAGCATAAGTTAAAATGTTATGCGTCAGAAAGTGACGGCACCATGAGTGTAAGAGACAGATGTTTACGTTGTGTTTGAGGGTCGTTTGTAAAGATGTGACTGTACAAAGATGTGTAAACACACTTATACAAACTTATATTTACATATAAAAATATATATAAATATATATATTATATATATACTTATATATATATATTCTAAAGTGTACGTTATAGAAGCTGTGGATGTTTGTATTTATTACAGCATGAACTGTGCGTGTGTGTGTGTGTACGTGCTGCACAGAATATGGAGTCTTAAGAAGCCCTCTGACCTCTGAGATGGGTCAGGTGGGTCCCCCCCCCCTTTAGACCGTATTATAATCTTTTCAGCAATGGCACCTAGAACCGAGCATGAGCTTTAATTCTCTGTGTTTTTTTTCCCTTGTTTCTAAATCAAGGACATTTAAAAAATATCTCTGTTGCAGTGAAGCTTAGCATGAGTTTGTACCAAAATCACATGATTAAATCTAATGTTTGCTACTGGTTTTTTCCTCACTTGCTGTTCCCTGTCTGCAGCACAGGACACGGCCTTAGAGAGAAAGCACAGAACTGTTGATAAGAACCAACCTAAATAAAAGTGATGGTTGTCAACTGTGGACTGTTTCAGTCAGACACAAATGCCACTTGTTTTTACATGATGTTTCTGTTTGGAGTCCTACCAATAATTCATACTTTTCACTTCCTGTTGGTGAATTCACAGTTGAACAACATTCATGTTGATTCTTAATAATACTGAGTTTTTCTTTTTTTTTTTTTTTTTTTGCTAATCTGTGAAGTATTAAAGCAGCAGATTTTCAATGACTTGCCATTTTGAGGCCTCTTTTAATGATCCGAAGTAGCATCCTGCAGATTCATTCATTTGCCATCAGCTTACGGTTGTGTGTGCTCTTGGCTAGTAACTGGGAGATGCTAACAACATAGTGATAACATGTTAGTTTAGCAGCCCCATTGGTTAACTAGTACTGCCAACTATTATACCTGCAAATTTCTATCTCTATCATAAATGATTAGTTTAGCACTTATCCATGTATGTTGATGCTAACTATTACATTACTTGCTTGTGCTAACTGATAATTAAGGAGCTAAATTCTTCATTTACTGATAGTAACTAGCAATTTAGCCACAGAATTGTGTTTATCAATGTTAGCTACCAGTGAGGCATTACCTAACATGATAGCAACAAGAGATGTTTGGTGATTGTTTTATGTTTTATGTGAGATGTTTTTGGTTTGCAAAGACTGCGTTTTTGACATAGCTAACAGTCTGCTTCATCAACACAGTAGATCATTTTAGACTTTAAGGTCAACATGACGTCAACATTGTTTGTCAATTCAAATGTTGTAGAGCTGCATGTGAAACAACACGTGAAAACAAGTTCAGTATGTTCATCATGTGCTCGTGAATTAACTTAGCCGTGTAACAAAGAGCAACGATGATCGTACATAATGAGATTTTGGGGATGTTAATAACAAGTAAGATGTTAATGCACACAAGGCAGTAAAATAACTTTGTAGTAAAATGACAAAGATTCATGTTAATGATACATTTAATTAGCAGCATGGGAACAAAACTGGCAGATTCTGATGAAGGTTTAAAATAATCAACATAGGTAAAAGGGTTTCAGTGCAGCGTCCTTCGATTGGCTGGTTTTGTTGAGCGGGTGGAGCCGTGGGTCTTAAAGGAGACAGCAGAACAACAACAAAAAATTAAATCACACCACGCCTGCATGTGTGTGAACTCAGGACCTGTTTCTACTCACCAGTCCTCCTCGCCCTCGTCCGGAAAAGATGGTCGTGAGGCCACTGTGAGGGGGGACGTGTCTGAGCGTGCGTGTCCTAGAGTCCTTCAACTCCGAAAGGAGTTCAGGGCTGGACAGGGACAGACGAGCTGTCAAAGAAAGAAAAAAATGTCAATGTGGAACAGAAGAGACATTTGTCCAACCTGTGGACACGTACAGTAACGTTCATCTCCCAGCATAGACTTCAATGAAAGACTTTCCCATCGAACTTAACCAAACTCTGGTCTGAGCTGAATCAGACCAAGACCGTCTGCAGTGGCCTCCTTATGTACTACCATGAACCTGTGTTTAGGCTGTGTGACATCACGTCCTTTGCACATGTACATCAATTCAGGCTCTTCAACAGGATCACACTGGAGTTTTGTGGCGCTCACATGGTGAAAGGTGAGAAAATATTTTTAATAATAGGTCCAAAGTTGACGCAGCCAGAAGTCATTACCATGTAGCTTATCTTGTGAGCTGGGATCTAATGTTAACTATTTCATTGTTCCAAAATATTTTTCAGACACCCTGATATTGGCGTGCTGACCCACAGGGATCTGGAGACCCATGGTTGAGGGGTCTACCAAGTGGTAACATCATCCAGTGAATATTAAGTCACAAGCATCATCGTGTTTGTCCGCAGCTGCTCACCGTGTCTGTCGTCATTGCACGGTGAGGGTGACGAGGGACTAGAGGGTGAGGGGTCAGGAGAGGAAGGGGGGGTGACAGAGGAAAGGACGCTGGAGTCATCACAGTCACACAGGGATGGAAACTTGTTTCGACGCTCTGAAAAACAAGGACGGGGAGTGACAGACAGGATTGGACAAAGACTCGGACACTGGGTGGACGAGCACTGCTCACCTTGTAGAAACTCTGCCTGTAGCTCTGACGAGGACAGTGATGATGTCACTGATGATGTTGAAGGGGATGACGACAATGATGATGTCATGGTCAGCCTGTTAGATCAGTGGACACTTGTGACGCTGAGCTGGCCCCTGAACCTTAGCTTGAACCTGACATACAAGGTACAACACTGCAGTGCACCCACAAACACACAGAACGCACACTGGGAATGTTTTTCTTTCTCACCTCAGGAGTGAAGCGGAGACCAATCTTGTGGTGAAGTTGTCGGTTCAGCTGGACGAGTTCCTTAAGGACAAAGTCTCTTTAGCTCCTTTGCTCAACCACATTCTCTCTCTTTTGTTCCTGGGTGTGTGTGTGAGTGAGTGAGTGACCCTTGAGTCCTCGTTAATTATTGACTTGACATTGCCACAGTTAACATTACGCAGTTGATGGAGTCGTCGATCGTTTTTTGCAGCACTAGCTCACGCCGCAAGAGGGCAGAATAAGACGGGAAACTGACTGTCAGAACACCGACTAACTATCTGACAACAGGTTTTAAAATGTGTACATAGTCCGCGTCTAAAAAAGTGGGACAGAGTCACTGTAACCCCCCGCTTTTACTAAATTCTGCTTCAGGTCATATTAAGCTTTTTTTTTCTGATATATTTCTTTTCACTTAATGACGTAATTTTGGTTTTCTTTCATTTTCATAGCATTGTTTCGGCTGGTTTCTGATATATTTCTTTTCAAACTTAATGACGTAATTTTGGTTTTCTATTGATTTTCTTCTATTTTCATAGCATTGTTTCGGCTGGTTTATTAAAGGCTAACGTATTTCCCATTAAAGTAAGATAACGTTCAGTTAATGCTTGGCTAATTTGGGAAAATTCGTTTTTTATGTAGCTGTGTTAGCTAGCTCTGGTTTACTGATATTCAGAGCGGCAACACTTTTAAGGCGCAGAGTTTTGCTGTGAGAATGCAGCATGGTAAATAGATGTATTTCCTCCTCCCCCCTTATTTATACCACCGTTTGTCAACTATTCGTTTTCTTTATTCATTGGGAATACCAGTTCTGTAGGAATTAGTGTTTTGAAAATAGTTCAGTGGAGCTTTAATGCACAAGCTGGAATGTTTGACGTGAGTGAGCAATACTTCTCCTTCCAAAAAGTTTGGAAACCATTGGGTTCTCCTCAGGTGTCCTCTATGTGGATTAAGGACATTGGGAATTTATTGGCCAATCTGTTGATATTTGAATGGCAGTTTGTCGTGGTTTGTTTCAAACCCTGGGATAAAACAATGCACTGCTGTTGACATTGTCACACAGGGTTTCATTCTGCTGGTCTACAAACACGTATCCTTTTTATTCCAGGTTCACAGGTTAAGCTGGTAGCTAGTAACCCAAAAACACAAAGACAAATTTAAAGTCTTGACACACCTGACATTTCGAAAGGTTGTTTATAAAGTACTGACATTTTATTAAGTTTAGTTTTCTGATATATCTCACTTATTGTCACAAGTTGCATGTAAATGTGCCTTTTAGTCATACACCATAATTGCCTCTAGGGGTGCTGTCCTTCTTTGCTCCTGTTACAGCATCTGACACAAGAGTCCCTGAAAAAACACTAGCAGACAGAAACTGATGTGGAGTCAGGACTGGAACTTGTCCAGACTGAATGTTGACTTGTTTCAGAGATGACATGTTTGTGGGTGATTTTGACACTTTGTTTATGGTTTTAAACAATGATCGATCAATCGGTCGGTCGGTCAGTTGGTTGGTCAGATGCACCGGGGGTTGATTTAATCATCCAGGAAGAAGTAATTTCCACTCTTCTTCTGTTCAGTGTCCTGCAGTGACAAGTCAAACAGTGATGAGATGATATTTCAACATGTACTGTAGTGTCAGCAGGGGGCAGTCAGGGGCCTCAGTATACTCACCTTGATGGAGTGGAGCTTGTTGATTCGTGGCCTGAAGTTGTTGGGGTCCCGTCTGAACGTGATCTCCAACAGAGATAGGAAGCGGCTCATTCCTGCCAGCAGACTCTGCGGCCTGCGGCCAAGTAAACACATCACGTC